TAACAAATTCTTGGGAGAACACTGCATAACGTTTTTTATTACAATTACTTATTTCTAGTTGTTTTTCTTTCTCTCTTTTAACCATTGATCGCACCAGATTTGTGTGTGCCGCTGAAACAAAATTGTATGTTCAGTTGAATAAATAAATAAATAAATTACAGTAATATCGCAAGTTGTTAGTAATGGTTTAGCCTTACATGTTTTCATGGAATTCACAAGTTGAAATTCGCAGGGGAAATTCGGCATCAAAAAAATGTGTTTCGCATGAAATTCACGTAAATTCAATTATTAAATGTTGTTTTATAAAATGTAAATATAATTTGGCTTTAGTGTAATGCGAAATTTCATCTACTTTGATCAACGTTTTTGGAGGCATGGGTCTTACCACGTGATGGTAATGGTAATGGTAATGGTTTGGGACTTGTAAAGCGCATACTACATGGTCTCTATGTGCTTAAGTTACACGAAAGAAAACAAACCAAAAACTAAATCCTAAAGTCTAACCAAGCGACCTAAAGAATAAAAAAAAAAAAAAGGAAAAAGAAAAAGCATGAGAAAATAGACTATCGCAAGGGAACCAGCATCACCGCACCATTTTCTTACAATTTGAGACCACAGGCAAGCAGTGGTTTGCAGGATCATAACTCACAGATGCTCAAGCTGTCTCTTATACACATCTAGATGTGTATAAGAGACAGACATAGATCAGCTATCAGAACATCTAAACTTGATCAACCAGCAGCCGAACATTTCAATTTAGCTGGTCATTCAATTTCAAATTTAAATAACAGAAATGAATTGGTAACTTCATGTAGACACAGAAAAAAAGCATCTATTGTGTAACAACTAAGCAATATTAACACCTCAGTTAGACAATGGTAGGAACCATAGCAACGATATATTCCCCATATCTCTTAGCATAAATATAATCCTTAGCATAAATATATATATATATATCCAACAGCAGGTTGGATAAATATAAATAAATAAATATAATCCTTAGCATAAATATATATATATATATCCAACAGCAGGTACACTCGCCACTTACCGGATGAGAATAAATGCTTTTTTACAGTAAAAGCCTCTTTTAATGAGGCTTGGGGATGAGTTGTTTTTTTTTAGCCGTGAGATTCGGAAATCACTTCATATGAATACTTTACACAAAGTACAGGTAATTTTGGATTCTGTAAAATATTATTTTCTTGCAGAAAACAGTAAAATCCAAGTCATTTTTCGTGACAAGATTTTGAAAAAATATCTTTAAAAAGATATTCGAAAAAAGTTTGGCCGAATTTTGCCATAAGATGGCGTGTGTTTTGCCAAGGAATACAGGAATATACTGTTTTGCAGCGAAGCCTGTCGAACTATCTGGCAACCCTGAAAAGAACTCCATGGTCTCTCATATGGTGGTATAGAAGTAAAGGTGAAATTTCTTTGAAAAGTAGATCTGAATCTCCTTTATATCATCATTTGTGAGTATAATCTGAATTTATAAGTTCAACATATCAAACCTTCAATTCACATTTTTTTTGATCTGATGAAAATTGAATGTGATTTATTGTTCCTACTTTATAAATTTGGACAGTCAATGTTTTGGTAAGCCGAGGCTAGGCGTACACACAGTTGTGCAGTACTCTAGATTTCTGTGCTCTTCTAAAAATCACTTTCAAATTAATTTTATTACAGTAACATTTATTCATTTTATTGATAGGTCTAGAGTGAAAGTTTCAGTATTAATATTATTTCAGTGTCATTCGCTACAAAACATTTTTAAAAACTATAGAAACTGTGTTTTTGGGGTTGGCGTTAAAAGAGCCAACTGACGGGATGATGGTGCTTGACATCTGAGGCCCGCCTACTGCTGGGTACGGCCCTTCTCAGTAAAGTACGTTTGGTAGTGGTGGCCTAGCTAGACCGATTCTGTAGTCCGTCACCAGCAAGTATGTCCGCTAATTTTGCTTCAGCGTTTATACCTGCAAAACAAATTTGGATTATACAGACGTTTATATTTGATATTTCTTTTTCGATAATTAATTTGTACGTCAGGCATGAGACAACCCCTTGTTTCACCGTCGGAATTCATAAATTTTGCTGCTCTTTATGGTCAAGTTGATACTGCATCTAGCTGGCTAAAAAGGGGTCAAAATGTAGGGCTAGTCTCTAAAATAATACCATTTTATAGGCTTTTAAATATTAATCAAAATCTTATTTCCCAGTATTTTGCATTCATTCATTCATACCACAGACCCTGTACAGCATCTGTGTTCATTACATTTAGGCCTAATAGGTTCATTGCAGTGGTACATTCGCATATCAGATGATCTGTACATGATTTTATATGTATGTCGAGTGTATACTAACTAAGATGACCCCCTGTTTTTTTTTAATTGTAATTTGTTATTTTAACTAGTAGTATATGGTATGAAACCTCTAGATGGCCGAAAATGGCACCCTCAAGCTTACCATAGTTTACTGTAAGTAATTTAGAGGGAGAGGGACACCCGGTTTCCCCTTCCCTCCTTGAATCTGCCTATACAAATGATGTGTTGTTCAGAAATAGCTACTGCTGGGATGATAAATGAAGAAATTACTATAGGCCTATGTGTATGGAATCTTTACAATTAATACAATTCTGTACAGCAACGCAATAAGATCTCAGACTACTGCTGTTAGTGTCTAGGTCATCCTAATTGTACTTTATACTTTGCACAAATTTTTATTGTATCTCCACCTTATTGTTGAATTATCTGTCCAAACGAGGACTTATAACTGTTACCAGGATAGGAAGCTGGCTGGTTTAAGCCGTCTAACTTGAATTAGCCTTATGTGTGGTATTGTTATGCTAATGAGCCAGATAAGCACAATCTGCACATACTCAGAAAAACTGAACTTTCCTTAGCCACACTGTGGCCCGCACTGCGTATCGGTTTGGCGTACAGCTACCTAGCTGAGAATTACGGTACGGTAAAACAAAGCAATATAAGGGTACGAATTTCACTTGACATGCAAATCAACCATACTTACACACTTAAAAACAAACTAATCTACCAATAAAATCACCTGCTAGTTAAGATATAAGGCAAGTATGTTTAC